AGATGAGCACTGAGACTTAAAAGCCTTGAAGCAAAGGTGAGGAACTCGAGGATGGACCTGGTGGAGTCAGCATGAGAAGATTTCTGTCGGAGCATCTCTGAGTTGGATGGAGCATCCAATCCCAACAGACACAGGTGGCATAGGCCAGGCAGAAGCATGATAGAGGAACAGCCACCACCAAAGAGTAAGGACCAGGCTGCTTCCATATTTTCCAGGTTCTCACTGAATCCCCTGGGTTTTTATTTGTCAGTTTATTTTGTTCATTAGATTCCACATATAAGTGAGATCATGTGATACTTGTCTTACTCTGACTGGTGTTATTTCGTTTAGCATAATACTCTCCAGGTCCATCCATGCTGCATCAATCCAAGGGAGGAAGTCCTTCAAACATAACAGATAGATTTCTTAATAGTTTTTGAGTAGGTGCTCAATGCCAGATTTAGTTTGAGGACAAATAAATTGATGTTTTATTGCACAGGATGGTTGGGGAGCAAGGCCATGTCCATCACACAGACCTCTAATTTCATACAAGAACTGCATAGCCTCCAGCATTAGCAGCTGGCTCTCCACTTCATATCACAGGTGAAGATGAGGGATGTGAAGTAGCTTGCCCAAGGTCATACACGTACTGCAAAGAAACCGAGCACTGCCTGATTCCAGAGCCCATGATTCTTACCACAGCGCAGATGACAGGTTCTTCAGTAATTCTTTAAAAAATTACTTCACTTTGCAAATAATTATAATTTAACTCCACCATCCAAATGTGGAGAAAGAAACTGAGGTCAATTTAGTTATATATTGGATACAAACTAGTGCGATGTAATTTTTTTAACTATGCAAAAACTCTAATAGAGTCCTTAACATGCACTGAAATGTTAAGTTAAAAAAATTAATTCTCAGCCCGGTCATTGTTGCTCAGTGGTTGAGCGCTGACCCATGCACCAAGAGGTCACCGGTTCAATTCCCGGTCATAGCACGTGCCCAGGTTGTGGGCCTGATCCCCAGTGGGGAGGCATGCAGGAAGCGGCCAATCAATGTTCTCTCTCATCGATGTTTCTCTCTCTCTCCCTCTCCCTTTCTCTCAGCTGTGGCTGACAGGTAGTGACATAGTCCAACAAAACCTGAACATGAGTAAGAAACATCCTGCCTCGTTCAGATGAGGGCAGAGAGGACAGCTAGCCTTCATAGTGACATCTGGTATTCAACGGTTCCAACCACCTATAAACTTAAATAGCGCTCTCATCTCTAGATTCAAGCACCTCTTATTGAAATCAGGAAAGGAAAAGATTAAAGATGATGGCAGGGGGAAAAACTGAGGAGGTATCATATAGCAGGGCATGGAGAGATCCTGAGCACTGATGGGGAGCTGGCCTCAGAGATCAACACCTCTCTTCCTGAGCTGAAGGAAGAAAACAGAATTCATGTGTGAGGATTCTTATCTTTTCGGTAAAGTGAGAGAATAAAAATGCTGATAGTTATAGAATAGGAGGAATTAGGAGTTTGAGGATGATAAAGGAGGTTAGTAGAGCCATTATAGGGAGCATATAAATGGACAAGAGATTGATTTAAAAAATGTCAAATATAGTCCGGCTGGTGTGGCTCAGTAGGTTGTCGTCCTGTGGACTGAGAAGTCCTGGTTCCATTCCCCGTCAGGGCACATGCCTGGGTTTCAGACTTGATCCCCAGTAGGGGCACGCAGGAGGCAGCTGATCGATGTTTCTCTCTGATATCAATGTTTCTCTCTCTCTAAAAAGTCAATAAAAAACATATTAAAAGAAAATAAAAATGTGAAATATAGGACCTGGACAGTTTGGTTCAGTGGTTAGAGTGTCGGGACACAGACGGAAGGGTTGTGGGTTCAATCCCCAGCCTCGGAAGGGGTGAGTGAAGGAGGCAACCAATCAGTATGTCCCTCTCACAGATATTTTTCTCTCTCCCTCTCCCGTCCCCTCCACTCCAAGAATCAATGGAAAAAATATCCTTGAGTAAGGATTAACAACAAAAGTCAAATATAGGACCAGAAGGTTCAGGAATATCTTGATAAGGATGACTTGTAAGAGTCAAGTCAGATGTTCTCCACCAACTCAAGGCAGACAATCTAAGGCTGAAAGTTGAAAGACTCTAGGGTATTATTAGTGAGGAAATCCACATATAAACAAGACAGAGATCTAATAATAAAGATATGAATGAAATATGCATCTGAGAGTTTACTGAAATTATTCATAATTGGATATAATATGTAGGCTTACAAAATAATGAGAAAATTTGCCTTCCACATTTTAGTGTGCCTGTTTATAAAGTAATTAAATGAACACTCCTTGTAAAAAGAGGTCATGTATAATTTGTATAAAGAATGATTTTTAATTATGTCTCATATTTGGCAGGGATGCATATGTTATCTTATGTAATATGGTTCTGCTTGAATTTTTGTGACTTGCTCTATGCAATTAGTTATTTGAAGGGGCAAGAGAATCACCAATATTTCTAAAAAACTAATACATGTCAGTTCCTGTGGTAGGCGTTTACATGTTATCTCATTAATCCTCCTAATAGCCCTGTAAGATAGGTATTACTCTCAGTAGTTTATAGCTAAGAAAATCAAAGTTCACAGACATTAAGTAATATATCCCAGATAGTAAAACAAGTCTAACTCCAAAACATGTGTTCTTCCCACAGACCACACTGCAGAGTTGAATAGGGAGATGTCAAAAGAAATCTGACTTTTTCTATTTCCAAAGCTTATTAGTTTATATATAACCTCACTACAGATAATTTATCAATATCTTTGTTCTCTCCAGAATTTGCTTATGATTAAGTATTTTGGTCAGTCAGGAGGTACAGATGTACTATTACAGAATATGCCTTCAAAAGGAATAAAGGAGAGTGTAGGTTCTATCATTAACTAATTAGTTGTGCAACCTAAGGGCAAGCTTCTTAATCTTTTTTGTGGCCTCAGATTTTTTAAATCTAGTGAAATGATGACGACTTTGGACTAGGTGGTGTTTTAGGTCCTATTTGACTTCATCCATCATCCATCCATCCATCCATCCATCCATCCACCCACCCATCCATCCAGTAATTAGATTGAGATTTTTCTATGTATCAGACACCATATTGTGTTCTGGGAATACAGTGGTGAATACAATTAAAATTTCATGGAAGTTACAATATATAAAATTCCTGATCTTAAGACAGTAATTCTCAACGTGGTGAGGAGCGACAAGTAAGACAAATTGCCTGGTGATACTTTTTGGAAAGTGTACCTGTACTACCTCCTATATCTGTAGTTTACTCCCCAGGAAGTAAGCACTGTGGGGAGTCCGTGCTATTGATAAACATTTGTGGTACCCTTCATATAGGCTTGGCAGAAAAAAGGTTGAGAATTAGTGTTCTAAGTGATTCAGCAAATTAAAGAGGGGCCAATCATATTGCTCTATTTTGAAATCTGAAAGGAGACATTAAAAGAGCCAATTGTAAGTTTGAAAATGCACTTGAATTAAAAGTTCCTGATTAATTAAGTCCTATAAACACTTGTACCAATCAGAATGCTTACCCATCTTATTGTTGGCCATGACCTCTTATGCTGAATTCATGTGGAAAATTTGTTTGATTAAAAACACCACTATCCTTCTGACAAAGAGTTTTAATATCCCAGGATTCTGTATTTAAATACAAACATGCAAACAAACATTAATGACGTCACAACATCATTAATAAAAGGCCTGTGTATGTATTAGGCTTTCATGTTCTGAGAATTATAACAAAATCTAAAATGTTGGAAAGTTTTAAAAATTTTCCCATTCCCCTCAAATCTAAAAGCTATAACTAAAGTTTATGCTTGCTATAGTCAAACAAAATTACCATAGAAATGTATGACTTGAAAATTTAAAAAAATACATACCACCTCCAGTTTAACTTCGTCAGTCATACAATGTTTTATTTTAAACCTGCTGTTCAAACTTTCAAACACAACACGTGGCAAAGAAATAGTTAACACACAACATCTGCCACAATTCTATCTTTGAACTGCCTTTTCTGCATTATGTGATGTGTTACAATTTCTTACATTCATGGTATTCTTAAAGGCAGCAATGTCAATTTTTCTGCTTTGAAAACAGTTCCATTAATGTTCTGAAATTGCTTAAAAAGACAACTTTTTCCCTTTATTATTTCATTGTAGCCCACATTAGTGAAATAATCCAACATATTATTAATAAGTTGTTGAGAGGTATATGGTACTCAATAAGTCAACTCCCAACTCCAAGTTAAAATGAACTTCAATCCAAAACAAGCACTTTCCTAAATCAGTATACTTAGCTACTTTTCTCAAAAATATTTCCATTCTGAAATAAGATTTTTTTTGAGATACAATAGTTTCCTTTTTTTCTTAACAGAACTCAATGCTGTACTTTTTTTCTCAAAATATATTTGACATATTCTGTGCAAAATGTTAAGTTCTGAATAGCTTTGTACCTTATTTTGAAAAAGTTTATAAAATATAATTCCTAAAAACAACCTCAACATTAGACAATAGAGGAAGAAGAGACATATCAAACAAAGCCTAATTTTTCACATGAGAAATTAAGTATGTTCTTAAAGCTCCAGCAATACATTCCTTGAAAAAACTCAGAATGCACTTTGGTCATTATTAAACACATTAGAACATAGGCAAATAAAACAAAATGCTTTTGTTGTTTTCTACAGAAAGAAAATATACTACAGAGGCTGAATTGAGGCAGATCAAAAGAAATGGTAAGAGCAAAGTGATATCATGACATAGCTTTGTTCTCTACACATTCCTGATCTTAAGATTATGATTTAGGGATTAAAACTGCACCAATCAAGTAAGTCATTTACAATTAATTATTTTAAATTCCCTAAAATTTTTTAAAATGTGAAAATATTCAACATGATACACCTTGCACCAAGAAAATTCTAGATTGTTTCAAATAAATTGTTTTAAAAACTAAGATGCCCAGTTTTAAAAAAATTGCAAATACATTTCCATGTTTTAATTATTTCCTAAAATATTCTTGATTGTACAAATATAACAACTTAAAATCTAGTCCCAATAAGATACCATCATATTTGCCCTATTTACCTAAGGTGCCAACACAATAAGTTCTCAACTGGACACTTGGCAAATTATTTGGGGGTTGAGATGGGGGTTGGTGTGGTGGTGGGTTAACTGTCCAGGTTAAAAACATCTAAAATAGCCCTTATATAATTGGGTAGAGATGGGGGTGGGGTAGGAAATGTACCAGATTAAGTTTAGGGGATAGAATTTGCAAGCTGAAGCTGTCTTTTCTGAAAATTTGGGTATATAGTACTTTTATAACTATCAATCAGGGATATTTTATTGATTCTTAAGTTGTTCATTCGAGTGTGGTATGAAGAGCACACACTACAGTGTACCATGGGGAGAAAATTATTTTACTTCAGTAAACATATATACTTTAGTAATATCAATAGGCACTTCACTTGTGAGATGAGTATATACCTCACTCAAAAGGATACCATATCATGCCCTAGTACACTATAACATATCCCATATAAAGATACGCATTTAAAAGTAACAATTTTAAAAAGTGCACATTTTGAGCATGCACAGTTAGAGCTGTGCAAACAGCCCAGTGTTTCAAATAAATACAATTATTACTAGTAAATTTTTATCAAAATATCTTACAGTATGGTAACCATTTACAATTATTGCTCTATTAAGAGTTTTATTATCAAAGAGCACTTTGTTGACCTGTTACGTAATACTATATATATTAATACTGAAGGGTGCTTAACTGCAGCTTAATCAGTTTGAATCCTGGCATTGTTCCAAAATAATTCAAGAGAAGCCCTAACTGGATCTTGATTTACTGAAGAAAATGCTTTACAGGTTTAGCTGGAGTCCAATGCAATATTTCAAAGTTTAAAGAAGTTTTCCTCAAGTAAGGCAAGTTCACGGCATTGGTGGAGAAACAGTGCTTAGCAATGGCTTCTATTCTCACGATCTGTTGTTTTGTCAATTATTTATAAGCAATTACCAGGATCTCAAGTATCTGGATATCAGTTTTATCACCCCCTTCATCAACAATTACGTACACATCAATGCTAAAAATAAAATATAAAGACTGAAGTAAATGTAAAAAAAACAGTGAACAAGTAAAATAAATATAAGAATTGCACAAGACAGTGTGATGTAAACACTTCAATTTCCCAGCTGAGACTCCCGAAGCAGAGTGACTGCTTTCAGGCAGCTTAGTTGGTACTCTTATTCTGGAAAAGAGGCTACATCTTCTTTTCTCTGAATTGTCATGATTTGATCTTCCACAGCTAGTGAAAAAATAATAGAAGTAGTGACCATTAGAGCCAGTTTTAATATCATAACTTATTAAATTATATCACATAATACTATTTTTATCTAAATTTCATTCATAAATATTTGTTCTACTTTTTAAAATTCCTTTATCCTTTTATTTTCTTCATTTTTAAAAATTTATCCTTATTGTTGGAAGTATTAGATATCCCCTTTTTCCCCCATTGACCCCCTCACTTCTGCCCCCCTGCCTTCACCACCCTCTTGTCTGTGTCCATAGGTTATGCACATATACATATAAGTTCTTTGATTAATCTCTTCCCCAACCCCATCCTTTAATTTTCAAGATGAATTCACCTTAAACAAGTAAAGTCATAATCAGATTTCTCTTGTTTTCTTTTACAGGGAAGTGACAATATACATATACAACTAGTTTAACACAAATAGTCTGTACCTTATTCACTAAAAGCTGAACATATGTTGGAGGATGTATGCATTGCTATATAGATAAGTAATATAACTTTTGGCTGAAAAAAAATAAGGCTCTTCTTTTTTTTTTTAATCACCTAAATTAGATTCAGATTATATGAGTAAAAATAAATGCTACTTATTCTACATAAAAGTCCTATTTGTAATGAATACTATTCCAAATTAGGAATTCCTACCATATTATAAACCAAGAATGTTTATCATTCTTTGAAATTAAATATAAAATTATTTCCACTAATTATATATAATATTATCAAAATGATTTCATCACTGTGCACATGAGATCTCAAAAGAGTGCTAGGGTAAAATAAATATCACAAAAATGTAACAGGGCACTAAGTAATAAAAAAATACCTGTAAGTTCTTACCTTTAAATTAAATCCAAGCAAGTCACTGATAACACCAGAAACGGCTGACAGGATGACAACTTGGGTGATGTTATAAAGCAGTGGATTCATTGTGAGCCCATATAACCTAAAGGGGCTGTCCAATTCCTAGGAAAAGAAAAAAAATCATGAGCCCACATTCATTAAGAAGTATCAGTTAAACTAATTCAAGGTAATATATAGTGAGGATTTTTTAAAAATAACACTATTTTGAAAAACAGTTATAAATTATGAATAGTTTTAGAAAGAATAAACTTGGTTAAATCTGAAATAAGTAAAAAATACACCTTAAGGTTTTTTTTTCTTAAGGAGGAGGTGACTTCCTTTAAAAGAACTCTGTAACCAATTGATGGTTTCCAGATGGGAAGGGAGTTGGGGGGGATGGGTGAAAAGTGAAGTGATTAAGAAGTACAAACTGGCAGTTACAAATAGTCACAGGGTGTGTAAAGTACAGCATAGGAAATATGGTCAATAACATTGGTGTATGGTGTCAGATGTGTAAAGATTTATCATGGGATCATCTTGTAAGTTATATAAATGTCTAACCATTATGCATACACCTGAAAATATTATAATGTTGAATGACAACTGTAATTTAAAAAAAATTATATAATCTAAATTTGAAACTCTAACTTCTATCCCAAATGAATAACTAGAAAAGTATTGGTCTAGTAGCTACAAGGTTTAAGAACATGTTTGTATAAGAATATAAATTTAAACAGCACCTTTTTGCAGAAGAATTAGAAATTTAAGCAGCCAATTTTCTGCCAATATTAATACATATACAAAAACTCCCCTTTGAGACAACTTTCTAATACATGAATTAATTGACTCAACATTTAAAGTTCTCTTATATGCTAGGCCCTGTGCTAGGCTCTGGGAAGTTCAGATTCAGTTCCTGCGCCGAAGGACCTTGAAGTCTAATAGACCTGCAGATAAATAATTCAACTATTAGAGTCCTACATAAAAGGTATATATAAAAGACAGTGGGCCGAAGGACTTCCAGTCAAGATGGCGGCGTAGGTAAACACAGTATCGCGTCCTCCCACAACCACATCCAAGTTCCAACTAAACTACAGAACAACCAACATTCAAAACCGCCTGAAATCAAGCTGAATGGAAGTCCTACAACTACGGAATTAAAGCAGCTGCTTCGAGACTGGTAGGAGGAGCGGAGGCGTGAGGGGGGCGTGAGACGGGCTGGTCCAACACCCACGTGTGGCAGATAAAAATCAGGAGGATACCTCGGCTGGGAAGGTCCTTCCTGAGGACTGAGGGGTCCCTGTCCCATACCAGGTGCCCCGCTCAGGGTTCCAGTGCCAGAAAGAGAAGTCCCCATAACTTCTGGCTGGAAAAACCAGCAGGAACTGAGGCTCAGGGAAGCTGAAGCGGCTGGAGCCCCAGGCAGCTGCTCTTAAAGGGCCCGCGCAAACTTATCGGACTCACTCCCTCTAAGCTTGAAGGGGAGGCAGCTACAGGGGCGCCAGAGACATACAGGGAAGAACTGAGCTGTTTGGCACTGGAGCAAGGGCTGAAGAGGGGGCTTTCTCCGGGACAAACGTGCTGTCAGAGGCCTTTGTTTCTTTGGTGAACCCTTCCCTGGGGCGGCAGACAGCAGCCATATCTGGGACTCCAGCAACCTGGCCCATGCTGGTAGCCCCGCCCTGGTGACTCCCTGAGGCCCCGCCCCGCCCCCCCAACTTTCAGGCCCACCCAGCTTTCAGGCCCACCCAAGGTGTTGCCAGCTGCTTAACCATAGGATTGACCTGTCTTGGATCCTGCTTCAGGTTTTTCCTAAATTCTTTCAAACGAGCAGCATCTGGTCTCAGCTAGCCCCATACCGCTCGTTAAGTAATACACAGAAACAAACACAGGGAGGCAGCCAAAATGAGGAGACAAAGAAACAGGTCCCAAATGAAAGAACAGAACAAAACCCCCAGAAAAGAACTAAGGGAAATGGAGATAAGCAACCTAACAGATGCTGAGTTCAAAATACTGCTTATAAGGATGCTCAATGAACTCAGTGAGAACCTCAGTGAACTTAGGGAGGGCCTCAAGAGCATAAAAAAGGACCAGTCAGAAATGATCGATGCAAAGTTAGAAACGAAGGAGGCTTTAACTGAAATAAAGAATAATTTACACAGATTCAATAGTAGAGTATGTAAATCCAAAAAGCAAACCATTGATTTGGAATATAAGGAAACAAAAAACGCCCAATCAGAACAGCAAAAAAGAAAAAGGAATCCAAAAAAATGAGGATAGTGTAAGGAGCCTCTGGGACAACTTCAAGCGTGCCAACATTCGCATCTTGGGGGTGCCGGAAGGAGAAGAGAACAAGAAATTGAAAACCTGTTTGAAACAATAATGGCAGAAAACTTCCCTAACTTGATGAAGGAAAGAGACATACAAGTCCAGGAAAAACAGAGAGTCCCAAACAAGAGGAACCCCAAGAGGCCCACATCAAGACACATCATCATCAAAATGCAAAAGGTTCAAGACAAGGAGAGAATCTTAAAAGCAGCAAGAGAAAGGCAGCTAGTTACCTACAAGAGAGTTCCCATAAGGCTGTCAGCTGATTTCTCAAAAGAAACTTTGCAGGCCAGAAGGGAGTGGCAAGAAATATTCAGAGTGATGAAAAGCAAGAACCTACAACCAAGATTACTCTATCCTGCAAAGCTGTCATTTACAATAGATGGCCATATAAAGACTTTCCCAGACAAGAAAAAGTTAAAGGAGTTCATCACTACCAAACCGTTATTATATGAAATGATGAAGGGTCTTTTTGAAGATAAGATAAAATATATGAACAAACAAAATGGCAATGAATACATATCTATCAACAATGGAATCTATAAACAAAATGAACAGATAGAACAGAAACATTCTCATAGATACAGAAAACATTTTGTTGGTTGCCAGATGGGAGGGGGGTTGGGGGAATGGGTGAAAAAGGTGAAGGGATTAAGAAGTACAAATTCAATGCTAGACTGACAAACCTCAAAGGGAAAGGGGTTGGGGTGGGTGGCGGGAAGAAATAAACCAAAGAACTTATATGCATAACCAATGGACACAGACAATAGTGTGGGAAAAGGCGGGAGGGGGGCGGGAGGGGGGCGGGAGGGGGGCGGGAGAGGGGCGGGAGTGGGGAGGAGGTCAATGGGGGAAAAATATGGAACATCTGTAATACATTCTACATTCAACAATAAAGATTAAAAAAAAAAAAAAAAAAAAGACAGTGGGCCATAGAGGAAGGTGCTCCTGAAACTTAGTGGGTAGGGAGAGTGAGTATTCCATTAAGACACCCGACAACATGGCACCTTTGTATTGCTAGAGTTTGCTCAGCATTGTTAGAGCCCAAGTACAACAGAAGAATTACTTGAATTTATAAAACCGGCTACTTATGTAAGCATCATTCTTTAGGCTGACTGTACTGACAGACTGGCACTAAAGGAATTTATCAGGGGATACGAGAAAGATCATCAGGTCAGCAATATGGAAGATGGATGAGAGAGTAGTGGGACCAGAAAAAGGAGATACCGTAAGAGTTCAGTGTATCTAAAGCTTAAGTGAGAGATGATGAGGGTCTGACTTAGGGCAGTATTGATAGGGAAGAGAGGATGAATTGGAAGATATTTGAGAGGTTGAATCAATGTGCCTGAGGATTTCGTGGCTGTGAACAATGAGAGAGAAGGAGCAATTTATATTAAGCCCCAGGTTTCCAACTAGAAGACTGCGTATGATCAAAAAGAATTACACTGTTGTGCTTTCTATTTTAGTTATTTCTATTTTTATCTCTACTCTGAGATAGAAGCTGCTCTTAAATCTCATCTTTATAGCTTCCTTCTGCCCAGCATTGTGCCTACACTCTGAACATATTCAATATGTATATGTCAAAAAAACAAAAACAAAACAAAACTCGCCCTTCTCTTCTGAATCCTTTCAATGACAATATACTGTCAGGTGAAGTATCTAGTAAATTAACACTTTTTAGATGAGTGAAGAATTAACCATAACAATGAGACACAACTATAATTCCATACTATTTTCTGAACACTTATAAACAATTCTAAGAATATTTCATTTGTTATAGAAATCGGGAATTTAAAAAATATTTCCCTTTTAAGAAAAGCATGACTAACACTGCCAACGCAGTGATAAAAATATTTTATTAAAATACCTTCAAAGAGATATTATGAAATCAGACATATTGAAATATTTTTATTACCAAAAACAATTTGAAAATATAAATGTTCGTTGGTGATATGTATTATAATGATTATGTATTACTACTTTTTAAGCTGATGCAGGTCAAGCAAGAAGATGGTTCTGAGAAATACAAAATGAAAAATTTTCCAAATTAACATCAAATCTCCTTTTTTGAAATCTATTTTAAGTTCTAAGAGGCAAAAATTTCCAAAGATGCCAACGTCTACAATATTCTAACATTATTTAAAAGTCTTAAAACTTCAAGTTATTAAAATTTCAAAATTAAATGATATGGATTACTTTGTTTAGTTTTGCAATGAGAAGTTAAATGTTAATTGCGTGAATGTGCTCAAATATAATTTGGAAACAATGTGGATAATCATGAAAACCAAATACAAGGTAGGATCTACAAACAAAAGACTCAGATATAACGTCAGAACAGCATATTCTACATTATATCCATTTTTAAAATTACCTTTAGCAGTTTAGTAGCCAGTTTTAAAACATTATTCACTATTGTCAGTTCCTCTTTTTTGTTAGGTTTCTTCTCCATTTTCAAGTATAGGTTTATCTTTATTAAAAAAAATAAACAATTAAAACTATTTAAAATTATAACATACTAATTGAAAAAGAAATGTAAAGACATTCACTAAAATATTAATTGTAATTATCTGATTACTGAGAATATAGGTGATATTAATATTCTTCATACTTTACTGTATATTCCAAATTTCCTACAATAAGCTTATTTTATAAGAAAATAATTTAAAATATTTTTCAAATATAATTAAAAGCTACAAGTAAGGAAAACTGAATGTCATTCTTTAAAAGATGAAACACTTTAATCTCAGAACCAAATCAACCTAAAGAATAACTATAGTAAATCAATTGGTTTGTTTGCTACCTTCTCCTATCTTTTTAATTGAGCTAATTTACAAGGTTACCAATTTTTAAAACATCAAACTATCCCTGACAAAAATACTCAAGTTCACTGGCAATTAAGTTTCTTTGAATAATTCCTATAAATAAGAAAAATAGAAAAAAAAAATTCATATAAAATAAAACTGACCATCAAAATTATTATGCTTTATCCTTTCTACTGAATAAAAATTCATACTTATTCAAACATGGCTCTGCTACATTGCAAAGCAAACATATCCCACTAAAGGTTTATAATCCGTAATTTCTATAAATTGTACTTCTTATTAAATGAAAATGGGACATAAAAATAGATTAGATCTGCCCTGGCCGGTTTGGCTCAGCGGTTAGAGCGTCAGCCTGCGGTCCTGAGAGACCCGGGTTCGGTTCCCGCTAAGGGCGCGAACCTCAGTTGCAGTTTGTTCCCGGCCCTGGTCGGTCATGCGGGTGGCAGCCACTTGATGTGTTCCTTTCACATCGATGTTTCTCTCTCTCTCTCTCTCTGTTCCCCTCTCTCCCTTCCACTCTACCTGAACAAAAAAATGGGAAAATGTCCTTGGGTGAGGATGAACAAAAAAAAAGTAGATTAGATCTGAAACCTGCATCAAGGTAGGAACACTGAAGAAGGGCTTCTGTATCAAATTTCAAGTTTTGCTTTATAACACAAATGGTCTTAATCTAGGTTCCACAAAAAATGTGAAGTAAATGAAAACATTTTAATTTCATATGTACACAGCAGACATTAACTTATAACATAATAAACATGTATTCTCTCACCTGTTCAGTAAGTAATATTGAGGTATTGCTATATTTTTTACTTGTTTCTGACCCAAGGGTAACAAATCTCAGCAGAAAAAGTGTTAGTGAGATGCACCAGATTACGAGTTCCCAATTGTAGTGACAATCAAGGAAGATCTCATGCACATGAAGCAACTAAAAAGTGTTTGAAAAGGGCAACATAAAGAAACAGTCATTCAAACAATTTCTTTTTAAGAGAAAATAACATTGTACTTCATACAAATTGATCATGAACATAGTATTACATTTTTAAAACATTTCACATTTATTATGAAATATTTCAAGCACATTAAAAAGTATAATGTAATCAAAATCCATGGGCCTCTACCCATTTTTGTCAAATCTCAATATTTTGCAATATTTCTTTCAGATTATTGAAAAATAAAAGATAAGAGATTCAGCTGAAGCCCCTTTATACTTTTCCTTAATCCTTACTCCCTTCTTCCATATCCCCTCTGTAAAGGCAATAAATTCTGTGTTTATCTTTTCCATGCAATTTATAGTTCAGCCACATATCTCTTTAAACTATTGTTTTATATATATTTTAGAATTTATAAAAATATTATCACATTGTCCACATCATTCTTCAGTTTGTTTTTTATGCCACTGAACTTTGTTTTCAAGGTTTAACCATGTTAATACATGAAGCTCAAATTCATTCATTCTAACTCCTATGAGGTATGACAGTGAAAGAGTCAAGCACAATGTATTGGCCTCCTCTCTCCATTAACATTTATTTTGTTGCCAATTTTTCCTATTACAAACAATGCTGTGATAAACATTCTTCTATGCATCTCTTTGTGTATACATGTAAGACTTTCTCTAGGAGTTAACAGGTAGGAGTAAAATTGCTGGGTCCTTGGATATTCACATATTCAACTTTATTAGATATTACAAATTTGTCTCTAAAACAGTTGTACCAATTTATACTCTCAGCAGTATTATCCTTTGCCCCTCATTTTTGCCTACACTTGGTATTACCCAACTTCTTAATACCTGCCAATGTGATAGGTATAAATTGTTTTCTTACTGTTTTGATTTTACTTTTCCTGTTTCATCCTCTTAGGGAGGATGAATATGTTTCATATGTTTATTGATCATTGGATTTTCTCTTCTTAACTTCTATTCCATATCCACTTTCTCTATATTAGGTTGTCTGCTTTTCTTACTGATTTTAGATGTTATTTATATATTCTGAATAACAATGCCATTTAAGTCACATATTTTGCCATTATTTTCCCCCAGACTCCATTTGTCATTATGGTGTCTTTTGTATACTTAAAAATTTAATGGAGGGGTGAGGGAGGAGAAGAATGTATGAGAGATTGAACAAGTCAGGCAAAATTCTAAAATATTTGCCATCCGGCCCTTTACAGAGGAAGTTTGCTGTTCTCTAGCTCATAGGAAAAATTAATTTTTTTATGGTGATGTAACCATTTTTGTTAATCTTGATCTTCTAAAAAATGTCTCATATTTTTTGTTTATAATTTATCTATAAAGTTATTTGGATGTTCTATATAGACAATCATATAGTCTATTACTTTGTTTTTTCCTTTTCAATCTTTATACCATTTATTTGTTTTTCCTGTCTTCACTGGTTAATACCCTCTATCAAAATGCTGACCAGAAGTGGTAGAGATGTTGTCTTATTTGTTTTTAAAATAAATACCTCTAAAGTAATAAATATTATAAGTACAGTTTGCTCCCATTTTTGAAAGATATATTTTATCAGATTAAGCACAGTACCTTCCAGTCGTTGCATTATAAACCTCCAATGAAATTTACCAATTTGTTTTCTGCATCTATTGAGATGATCGGATGTTTTGTCCTCTTTTAATCAACTAAAGGAGCTCAAACTAGATTAATGGATTTTCTAAAGTGCAAAATCTTTGCATTCCAGGAATAAACTATTTTGATCATGGCATATTTACTGTTATTAAACTGCTGGTTTCGCCCTGGCCGGTTTGGCTCAGTGGTTGGAGCGTTGGCCTGTGGTCTGGAGAGACCGGGGTTCAGTTCCCACTAAGGGCATGTACCTCAGTTGCAGTTTGGCCCCGGCCCTGTTTGGTTCGTGTGGGTGGCAGCCACTTGATGTGTCCCTTTCACATCGATGTTTCTCTCTCTCTCCCTCCCACTCTGAGCAAAATATCAAAAAATGTCCTCGGGTGAGGATAAAAAAAAAATAAAAATAAAAAAAATAAACTGCTGGTTTTATCATCCTAGTACTTTGCATCTAAGTTAATAAGGGAAATTAACTCATAGTTTCTCATTTTCATACTGTCTCTCTAGTGTTGGTATCAAAGTTATATTTGCCACATAAAATGAATTGGTGGAATATGCTATTTTTGTATTCTTCTAAGATTTTGTATAGGATTAGGACTACTTGTTCACTTGAATATCTGGCAAAATTCACCTGTAAAACCTCATGGGTCTAGAGGCTTTTTGTTGGTGGCAGACTTTTAAACTATTGAATCAATATTGTGTTATGGTTATAGTTCTCTTCAGTTTTTTCAATTACTTTTTGAGTCAGTTTTAATAAATTATGCAACTCTACAAAACTTTACACCTAAGCTTTTAACTTTAATGGCATAAGGTAACTTCTACTGGTATTCTTTTTAAAACATCCTCAACTGTGCCAGTATTTCACAGTTTAATACTGTGCTTTTACTTTTTAAATATTTCTTATTTATGTTTTAAAATTTCCAAATGTATGAGGTTTTTTGGGTGCTGTCACTGTTTTCTAATTGCATTACAGCTAGATCAAGTGGGCTGTATAGTATCAGTTGAAAATTACTTTATGGCCTAGAACATGGGAAAGGTTTATAACTGTCCTTATGCCTGAAAAGCATGTATTCTCCAATTTTAGAATAAAATTTTGACTATCTTATTTAGATATATATCTTCATTACATTTTTTGTCTGCTTAACCTAGCAATTACTAAAAGAAATGTGTTGAAACCTCCCAATGTAGTATTTTGTCAATTTCTCACTAAAGTACTATTGATTTTGGTTATATATAGATATATTTGAGGTTATATGATCACATGCATACAGATTAGTCTTCTTGATGAATTATTCTTTTAATTTTTATCAGGCTTCTTAGATTACAGTCTGTTTCATCTGATAGTAATGAAAGGTTACCAGTTTTCTCTCGGCTAATGTTTGCCTGCAATACGTTTATATATATATTGATTTTGAGAGAGGAAGGGAGAGGGAGAGATAAAAACAATGATGTGAGAGAGAACCATCAACTGGCTGCCTCTTGCACAACCTACTGGGGATAAGCCTGCAACTTGGGCATGTGCGCTGATTGGGAATCAAACCAGTGACCTCTTGGTGCATGGGTTGATGCTTAACCACCGAGCCATACTGGACTCTTTTTCTATTCTTTTACATTCAAAACTTTTCAATATATCTTTTGTTGCTAACAATAGATGATTTTATGTTTAAGAGACATCCTAAGATGTACTTCAGGAACATGGAAATTAAATCCTGAAGAAAAGACTGAGATGTATTTAGAAATTCTGAGTACAGAAATCAGTCTTTTTCTTTGGGGTGCTTTTATTTTTCTTTTTGTTTTTGGTGTCCTGCAGTTTCTCTACAATGTGTCTAAGTGTGATAAAAATTAATGTTTTTTATCAGTTCAGAAAAACTCATAGCCATTACCTCTCCAAATACTGCTCCCCCTCTACTTTCCATCTGCAATTCCTGTTAGATTTATTTTGGCTCTCCCATCTGTCTCAATCCCCTTTTCATATTTCAATCTCTTTATCACTGTCTTATATTCTGGGTAATTTTTCTCCCCTTCTCCCAGTTCACTATCTTTAGCTGTTTTCAATCTGCTATTTTTTTCTGTTTGTTGTGTTTTTAATGTTGATGCCATATTTTTATTTCTCTGGAGTACTATTTGGTTCTCTTTCAAATCTACCTTTTTTTTTTTTTGTAGTGTTACCTCTTTAATCATTTTAAATAAGCTAACCTTATAGTTTCTATCTGATCAGTCTATTACCTGAAGATCTATTCCTGCTGTTTATTAATCTGCTGACACACTCACATTGTATTGTTTCTTCACTTGTTTTCAAACCTGAAAAGGTTTTATCTGTGAACATCTTGGGAGTCCTAGGTTGAAGTCACATACCCCAGCACAGTCTTGGTTTTGCTTCCACTAGGTATCCAGGAGCCTAGGACCACTTTTTATATTATCTTCTTGACACAGGGGTTACAGGAAAAGACCTGTAGTATACATTTAAACCCTGAACCTGTAAGAAGTGCAGACCTACGGTTCTTAGGAGAGACTCTTCCCCATCTCTTTGCTAGAGTCCAGGCAGAATCAGAGACAAGCTTCCTTATTGTCTTCCTGTGCTGGTGGGCAGACTGCTTTTCTTATTCCACCTTTTCATGGAGACTACAGGTTATACAGGCCTTATGTGTAAGCCTGTATAAGAATGTATGTATGTAGGTTGAGGCTTCATCTTCTGTCCTCATGTGGGTATAAAATCTCAAGTCTCTAGGGTACTAAGACTGACAATGAACTTCACTTCCTTATCCTATAGCTACCATGCATAACACATACACTTAATTGCTGTGTTTTTCAGTTTTATCTTCATTGTGGTCCCTTACTGTCTTATAAACTCAGATATATATAATATGTATATTAAAAAGTTAGGTTTTATTTTTCAAGCTTTGTATGATGTTTTAAAACAGAAGAATTTTCAGGTAATCTAATATGTCATATTACTTGAAATGGAAGATTAAATTTTATAGCACAAAATATAACCTGAGATACTTCTGTATTTCCTGACTAATCTTGGTCAATGAGAATTCTTTTACAGAGCATGAGGCAGTCAAGTCACAGTGACAATTCTGATATAAAATAATTAATGTTAAATGTGAATAAAGTGGAGATTCATGGAAATAGCCTGGAACAATTCATAACTGTAGTCACTCATAAGTTTGTTTTGGAAAATAAAGATAACCTAGTGAATTATAGACAAAAACTAATTATATGCCCAATCAATAGACATCTGAGACTATGCTAGCCACTAGTGTGACAAAGAAATGAATAAGATTCATTTATTTATTCTACTGGAAAAACAAAACAAAACTGCAAAAAAGCCAATTTCAAAATTGTGTGACTAGGGTTTACTTATATTATTACTTTTATTGTTTATTATTAGCAAACCTTTGAAGTTGAATTTTATATATCTGATTATCTAATTTCTATACAGAACAATTTAACTCACCTGGGCACAACAGATAAACACAACTGAGATAGTCAATAAGAAGGCAGAGGAAACTATTACATCAACTGATCGCTGAGGACCTCGACGCTGGGGGGGAAAAAAGGGAAATCACTTTTAAATATATTTACTAATTAGCAGCCAATTCCATGTTTTCAATTATGGTGCTGATCCATCACTTCAGGTTGATTTTTTTTTATCGTAACTTACAATGTTGAAAATATACCTAATTTGTTAGATGAATTTTAATTATAAAGTGTTACTGTTACCTGAGGATTTGCAACACAGTGAAAATAGTGAATATATAGCTTAGAATTCTTAACATAACTTCCAAATATTTCATTTTTTCAAACACTAATTACTCATTCAACAAATATTTCTTAAGCACCTGCTCAGAGTGAAGTACTGTGCTAGGTGGTAGAAATACAGCGGAGAACAAAACAGACACAGTCTCTACCTTCACAGGAACTAACAGGGAGGCAGACATCAATCTTATAAGCACCGATATATGATAAGCTATAATGAGTGCTATGAAGAAAAAGCATAGGATGCTTTGAGAAAATTGGTAGGGAGTTTGATGTAAATATCACTTTCTTAGAAAGATCTTTCCAGGCCCACCCTCCTAACTTCCAAATACAAAATTGTGTGGGCTTGGGAAGATCTCCCTAAGAAAGTGATATTTATACCAAACTAAGAGTAGTGTTTCAAAATAAGACAAGAAAGACATGCTATTGGCAAGAGCTGGGTCATGGGCATTATAAGCCCTGTTAGATTTTGTTCTTTATCTTAAGAGCAATAGAGAACCCCAAAAAGTTTTAAGAATTATATGGTCAAATCTACATTTTAGAAAGATCTCTGGCGGCAGACGAAGAAGTATTGGAAGGAGGAAATCTGAATGCTGGAAGGCCAGTTATGAGGCAACTGCAGCCCTGCCTGGTTTGGCTCAGCGGTTAGAGCGTCAGCCTGTGGACCAGAGAGTCCTGGGTTCGGTTCCCACTAAGGGCACATACCTTGATTGCAGTTTGTCCCAGGCCCCAGTTGGGGTTGTGTAAGTGGCAACCACTCGATGTGTCTCTCTCATATCGATGTTTCTTTTTGTCTCTTCCTCCCTCTGCCTCCTGCTCTATCTGAGGATAAATGCAAAAATGTCCTCAGGTGAGGATTAAAAAAAAAAAGGTAACTGCAGCCCTGGCCCGTGTGGCTAAGTGGTTAGAGTGTCGGCCTGTGCACCAAAGATCATGGGTTCGATTCCTGATCAAGGGCACAGACCTGGGTTGCAGGTTTGATCCTCACCCTGGTTGGGTTGCATACAGGAGCAACCAACTGATGTGGCTCTCTCACATCGATCTCTCTCTCTCTGCCCCTCCCTTCCACTCTCTCTAAAAATCAATGGAAAAATATCCTCCAGGTTAATAACAAAAAAAAAAAGAAAAAAAGAGGCAAGTGCAGTAGCCCAAATTGGTTTCAATTAAGGTGGTGGAAACAGAAATGTAAGTAAAGTGAATTCAAGATGTATTTTGGAAGCAGAAAGGGTGGAAACTGATGATAAATTGGATGTTGAAAATGCAAGAGAGAGAAGTAAATTTCAAAGATAATTCAAAGGTCTGAGGTTAAACGTTAATGAAGTGTAAGTTCATAAGGGCAGGGAATTTCATTTTATAGATAGTGGACAGCACATGGTTAACATTAAGTAAATGTTTATTGAATAAGGTAATGTACAAAAGAATAAAATACCTACATAGGGTTGAAAACAAAGAAAATTTGGAGTTGCTTCTCACTAAGCTATGCAATGAGGACATTCATCTTTCCATACAACAGAAATGATAGAATGAAACAAAATAATCTATGTCAATTTGTAGCATTTCCCAATGGAGACTAAGTTAATTAAATTTAACAAGTTAAATAAATAAGCAAAATAATAAATATTTTAAAAAGAAGGCTGGATAAATAGTACAAATTTTTTTTTTCACTTCTTTCATTGTTACTTCAAAATAAAAAGCATTAAAGATCAAGCCCTGGCCAGTTTTGCTCAATGGTCAGAGTGTCAGCCCATGGACCAGAGTCTTGGGTTTGTTTCCAGTCAAGGGCATGTAACTCAGTTGCAGTTCAGTCCCCAGACCTGGTCAGGGTCCTGCAGGAGGCAACCAAATGGTATGTCTCCCTCCCTCTCCCTCCCTCCCTCCCTCCCATTCTGTCTGAAGATAAATGGAAAAATATCCTCGGGTGAGGTTTTAAAAACAAACAAACAAACAAACAAACAAATAAATAAATAAATAAAGATCTAGGTATGTTAGAGGATTTGGCCTTTGGGCCAACTCCATACATAATGAAATTCATTGTTACTTAATGTAACACAGAAATATTTCTCAGAAGTGTTATCCTAAAATTAATTCAGAGGTTTCCCATTTCCCTCCTGATTTTTTTAATCCAATTCTATAATTAGAAAAGTTATTTTAAAAGATTAAAGAAAAGAACAGTATGAAAAGAATGGCTTAGAATTGCAAGCTAGTATTTTTAAATAGTAATAGGCCACTTCACTGAGGGGACTCTAATTACAGATTATTTTTTTAAAATTATTTTCTAAGCAGTGGGCTCCCTCTGCTGGCTTGTGATAGCCATTCTAGGTAGAAACAAAATCTTAAATCTAGCTTTTGAATGAGTAGAAGTTGATGAGATTTATGAACAAAGATAAATTTAGAACAACCTGATCTTGAATCATCTACATCAAATGCATTTAAGCCTTTTAGACTTCAGGTGTTTTACTATAAAGAACCAGTTAAGCCCAGCTGGTGTGTCTCAGCAAATCAAGTGTCATCCTGTGGATTGAGAGGTCCCAGTTTGTTGGGATATGTGTCTGGGTTTTAGGCTCAAACCCCAGTAGGGGGCGTGCAGGAGGCAACCAATTGATGTTTCTCTCTCCCCCTTACTCTCTAGAAGAACCAGTTAAACACTTATTTTGGATTTCTGCATATGGAGCATAAAGAACACTAAGTATGGCCACACAGCACTATGTGAGTACATATATGAATACTCATCTAGACCCTACATATTGACAAAGAAAGGACAAGAAGCCAACACATTAAGAGTATTTTTATCACCACCATTCTACCTTAAGATAGGACCGAAGAGATAGCCACATTTTTATATTTTGTACTTTCTTCAACCGGAAATGAGGAACTTCAGATTTTCGAGCCCGCCTCGCCGATGTTAAATGTCCAAAGAGTTTTGCAAAAAGTAAGCGCTAAAAAAGATAAAGGTAAGGATTAGTTTTCAAGTACATTACCACAGAGAAACAAAAATGAACAAAATATGGATTGTTACGATTTTATTAAGTACTACAAATACAAAACAAGAAAATAATTAGCATCTCAGAATGATTTAACAAAATACTAAAATACTTCAAAAATACTTTGGATATTAGGAAAAGAATAATATATTCCCTATTCAGAAGTCTATATTATTCTCACCTGTTTATAAGTTCTTTCTGCCACACAGAGCAAAAAAAAGAAAATCCACACAAGAGACACACGAACCACAAAACTTATAATAACCATAGAAAGAACTATGACATCTTCATTAGAACCGAATGCAATCATGTAAAGTTCTGAAGCTGAATGTGCTGTAAGTTGTTCCAAGTCTGTAGCTTGGGAGAGTCGGAAAACAAATGGAGTTAAACCCAGGATTAGAGAGATTGCATTTCCAAAAATCTGGTATCCTATTCCTGGTATATGGCTATTCACCTTTACAGAGAGAAAAGAAAAAAGAAAAAAAAACTTACACACATTTTACCTAACAGTAAAATGAATTCCTATTAAGCATGATTTTATTTATAGCAATATGAAATCAGTTTGCTAAAATATATTAGTTTTAATACATGAATATTAACATTTAAATTTACTCAAACTTTAAGAGCCTATTATGTGTAAAAAGTAAGTCATTATTTCTTCAGTTTTCAAAGACAGTTCAACATCAGATCTCTAATTCACTAAGTAGATTGCAAAAAGGATTAACTATCTTGGTCTTACCCAGATTTTGGGGGAAAAAAATCTATGTATTTCATTATTTCAAAAGTTAGAAATACTCACAAATACTGTAATATTTAAAAGAATAAAATATGATATCCACTTAAATTTAGTTCATTAAAGAAAAGATCTAATTATACTTATTTAATTATTTAATAAATTTGTAATTTGTGTTTTCTTCAAATAGCTCAATATACAAATGGATGTCTCTTTAAATTCTAAAACCATTTTAGAAGAGAAAATGTTAGAGAGGGGACAATTAAATAAGAGAAGGGAAAAGAGGGTAGGGTAATTATAAAAAACAAAAACAAAAACAAAAAACAACTAGCCCTGGCCAGTTTGGCTCAGCAGTTAGAGCGTCGGCCTGCGGTCCAGAGAGACCCGGGTTCAGTTCCCACTAAGGGCACGTATCTCGGATGCAGTTTGTTCCCAGTCCTGGTTGGGTTGTGTGGGTGGCAGCTACTCGATGTGTACCTTTCACATCGATGTTTCTCTCTCTCTCTCTCTCTCTCCCTCCCACTCTATCTGAATAAAAAGTGGAAAAATATCCTCAGGTGAGGATAAAAAAAAAATCCTAAAAATTAAATGATGGGAAAATACAAGAATAGAATTGAGAGATACCTTAAATATCACCTAGCTAACTTTTTATCATTCTATACATTATGTAAATAATATGCTAGTTCACAGATAGTTAAGATATAAAGCACCAACTGGAGAATCCTTGCTGATAGCTTTTCATTGCTCATACTGAGATATGAAAGAGGAAGTAGATCAACTTTTTCAGGGAGGGAGACAGAGAGAGAATCATCGATGTGAGAGAGACACATGGATTGGATGCCTCCCGCAACTGGGGCCAGGGATCAAACCTGCAACCCAGGTACATGCCCTTGACTGAAAATCAAACCCACAACCCTTTGGTCTGCAGGACCATACACTAATCACTGAGCCAAATCGGCCAGGGCATATACCCAGTTATTTTAATCCTGTCCTACATAAAGTATGTACAACAATTCTAGTGTAACAATCCACAAGAAATATAGAACTGCAAGTTAAAAATCATGACTAGTTGTCCAAAGGAATCAGGTAAAATTTTTAAAGTAGCAAAGATCTGATAAAAAAAAAAAAAGTAACAAAAACTGAAATGAAAATCCACAATCTACTTCCAACTACTCGAGATGTTTACCCTTTGCTGCATTACTTCTATACATTTAAATAGGTAAGCATTAATACAAATTTTCTTAATGTTCTAATAAATAAATGAGCCTGCAGGGATGATAATGAAAAATAAATCATCAAAATTTGTATATAGCCCTGGGTGATTTTGCACAGTGGTTAGAGCATTGGCTTGCACACTGGAGGGTCTCGGATTTGATTCCCAGTAAAGGGCATATATCTGGGTTGCAGGTTTGATCCCCAGCCACGTACAGGAGGCAACCAATCGATGTGTTTCTCTTACATTGATGTTTCTCTCCCCACCCTTTTCCACTCTCTCTAAAAATCAATGGGAAAAATATCCTCAGGTGAGGATTAACAAAAAAACAAAACAAAACAAAAACCTTGTATATATCTAGCAGCTCCTCAGTTTGATCCACTGAAAGCAAAAGAAAGAATAGCATATTTTTTTATCCTCACCCAAGGACATTTTTCCATTTTTTGTTCAGGTAGAGTGGGAGGGAGAAAGAGGAACAGAGAGAGAGAGAGAGAGAAATATCGATGTGAAAGGAACACATCGAGTGGCTGCCACCCGTACAAACGACCAGGGCCGGGGACAAACTGCAACTGAGGTACGCGCCCTTAGCGGGAACCGAACCTGGGTCTCTGAGGACCGCAGGCCGACGCTCTAACCGCTGAACCAAACCGGCCAGGGCAAAGAAGAAAATTTTAGATTGTATCTATTCTTGGTTGCAAGAATGAAAATGATAAAAGATGACAGTGATTTGCTAACAAATCACTGTTTAAATCAATGACAAAGGCAAATATAAATAACCTTTTTTTTTCAGGTTGAAGAAATGAGGTGAATAGGTTATAAACATAACATTCCAGTGATTGTTTAGTATATTAATAATCAATGTTTTGTCTTTGAACAAAAAGAACACAATTTAAAAACTCACCCTGTTCATTATCATTCCACTGATTTCAAGTACAGACATGTCTGCTTTCTTACAGTCATTGCCTTCCCATACTATAGCACTTATTTTTTCTAATCCAGGGTGGGAACTGTGGAGCCAGGGCAAATGACTCTAAAAAAATAAATAAAAATTGGTGAATACATTTATGTCATTTCATAAATAAAACATACACATATATATACCCACACCGTTTTAATTACATTAAAAAACAGAAATAAGTGAATACATTTATATTTTATAAATAGGACATATATATGTGTGCATAGCTATATCTGTATTTATACACACAGAATTTCAATGACACTAAAATTCTATCTTAAAATTAGCATATACACTGAACAGAGCATAATATATATCAGTTATAAAAATGTATGTTAAGAACTTTCTATAACAGATACTAGGTAATTTATTGTTCAAAAATACTCTAAAATGTGTCAGCAAAAGCACTTAGTTGTCCATCCGTCTATATAGCTAGTGATATACTAATGTTCAAAGACAAACAGATACCATATTGTTAATATTACTACAGTCCAACTTATTACCATCCAATACAAAAAAATGACAGCTGAGATGTGAACCTCTTCGAAAGACTAAATAGTGATACAATCTCATCCTGAAAAAGACTCTTCCTCACACACGGTTGTACCCTTAACACTTGAGTTACTTTTCTGATATTTTAATCTAGCATTTCTCCAAAGAATCAATTTAACTTTCCTTTCCTCAGAGCAAATATTGTAAACTGAAGCACAAATAACTGGAAGTACTCTTCCAAGTAATATAAAACATTTCTCAATGTTTCAAGAAATAAAAAAAGGTAAAGGGAAAAATTAAAAGCTTAACAAAGAATCAGAGGCTTATGTTTGTTTGCTTTAGACCTACGATTAAAGAAATAAAACTTCAAAACAGAATTAACTGGGGGTTAAAGATAGCAACAAAATTAATGAAACAGTAATTTTTACATTATCAGATATTGTTAGGAGAAGTAACACTAAAAGATTAGATCCAGAATGGGATGAATTTCTTTGTTGACATTATAGTATTTATAACTTATTTTTATAACGTACTTCATTAAAATAACTTCTAACAGTAAACAGAATAATCTACTCATATTTATTCTTTGGAGGTCAAAATATGATTAAAATAGGATACAGATATGTTTCTGTAAATTTAAGGAATATATTTTCCTCTAGGGGGAGTAAAGTTGCATTGATTTATTTCAATTAAAGGTATAACATAGTAATTTAATGATATGTAAGAAAACAGATAAGGGAAAATATTATTCTGACCCTATACATTAATCTTATTTATATAAAGCTATATATACCATGTTTACTATTAAAAAGTATAAAAACTGATGAATAATTACAGGCAAACCATAATGCCAGTAGTCACACTACTGGCAAAGCTCTTTTACTTGTAGTTATTTGACTATCGAGAGGTTCCCTCTAAAAATTTATCTTTCTCATAGTATTTTATTTTATTTTTTTAAAAGCAAAGCTTAAAATATTTTATTTTTTTAATTAATTACTTTAGTTTCAGATGTTTCTCCTTTTTCCCCCACTGATTCCCCGCTCCCTCTCCCTCCCCTGTCCCCAACTTTGTTGTCCATGTCCATTGTTCATGCATACATGCATATAAGTTCTGTGGTTTACCTCTCCCCCACCACCCCCTCTTCTGGGGATTGTCAGTCTGTACCCCACTTCCACGTCTCTGGGGCTACCCCATTCCTCAGACTGTTATGTTCATTATATTCCACAAATAAGTGTAATATACACTAATTTTCATAGTATATATTTCACTGTTGGAGAACATTAAGATCAATGAGATACTGGTAATCAATTTTCTCATATGATGTTTCATAACTGAGCTCCAAAAAAATATTCTAGTTTGGGATAGAAATAATTTGCATCAAAATATGTATCAAACTTTCCTTGGTAGTTTAATAATTATGAGACATAATGAAACTAAAAGCTAGGAACAGGTGCAAGAAGCTGAATGGCAAAAGATTTCAACCACTGACATACACGCCTTTTTTTTTTTTTAAACTCTCAGTCTGCAACAGTGAATTAAAGGTTTTCCAATTACATAGTGCAAGGCATATGAATACCATGAAGGTCCATCTACAGATAGAAATAGAAATCAAGAAGTTCTTCACTCTTCTTTCAAAAGTACTCATTTTGCCCAGCTACCTTCCCAGTTACTCTAACTAGATTTGTTATTATTTTCCTATTTCTAGAAAATTGAAAGGCAAGAGAGAAAAGAAAGAGTTCATTAAAAAGCCCTATACCTGTGTGTGTTTGTCAAATGTATTTATTCTGAAAAACAGTCTTATTGAAACATGTACTGCTTAAATGTATGGAGAGCAGCATTATATGAAACATTTTTATTTTTATAAAAAGGCTCGGAAAATATGGAAGCAAATAATTCCATTTCATGATTTTATCAGATAAAGTTCTTCTTTGTTTTTCAAAGTGAAATTTGGAACTCTTTTAATGATTGTTTTTTATCCTCATTCAAAATCTTAACTGCTTTTCTCCTTGTTCATTCAAAATTGCCTAAAACCCATAAAACTTAAATGGTGTCAGGTTTTATTTCAAATAAATTCACCATGACAAGTGCTTTACTGGAGTTTCTACCTGTGGGAACTGCTGCATTCATTAAAATCTGACTTTTCCCTACTGAAAGATGAATTTCATTTGAATATGGCTTTATATTTTAGTATATATTCAGCCAAGACTAGAGGAAGAATATGTTCTCCTGTAGAAATGTTTCAGTTACTATTTACAAAGAAAATAACACAAAACTACAGATTTGATCATCCTGAAAAGAATATACTGATTCAAATGCTCCGTGTTGCTCATAAGAGATTTTTGAGTCTTTTGTTTTTGTTTTTCTTTATTGATTTTAGAGAGAGAGATGAAGGGAGAGGGAGAGAGAGATAGAAATATTGATGAGAGAGAACATCGACTGGCCGCTTCCTGCATGCCCCCACTGGGGACCTGGCCCACAACCTGGGCATGTGCCTTGACCGGGAATTGAACCGGTGACTACTTGGTACATGGGTCAATGATCAACCACTGAGCCACACTGGCTGGGCATAGACATTTTCTTAAATGTCAATTCTATTATCTCAGTGACTTAGATGAATATGCAAATAACTGTATATTCATTCTCATGGATCAACCCTATTCTCATGGACTAATTGTTCATTGCTTTTTTCCCTTCTTAAATTACAGAAAACTTTAGCTGTTCCCATGGCTACAGCCTGGCTCTTGTCACCACAAAGAACTGTTCTACTTCTGATATGAGTCTTTAAACACCTCTCATCTTGCCAGGTCTCTCAAACCTTCAGTTCTAAAACACTTGTTCCTTGAAAACACCTATCCTTCAATCTATCAGTGTCTTCATGGTTTCATTTCCTTCTCAATCTAACTCAATCTGGACTCTTACCACATCCATTATTTCAATCAGTAGACCATCCCCTCTCCTGTCTCTTGAATAGCTACTATTTAGTGAACACCTACACTATATGACGTTAGGTATATTATTAAATTCTGGGCCTCAATATTCTCATCTATAAAATAACAAAAAAATAAACCATACTGTAATAGGTTAAGAGAATTACATGAGATAATGCATCTTGATTCCTTTGAACCGTGCCTGGCATAGAGTAAATGCTTATTAAATCTTGCTATTATTATGATTATCACAACTATATTCCAGAGTGTATCACACAACTGTTTGGAATGAGCAACTACAAATTCATGGTTTCAGATTCTAGCTGGATCCTCAAGGTGAATTTTTTAATTGGCTTGAATACATGAACACACATACTGTCTCTCCACTGTCTCCATTTCCCACAAATGATAACTTCAATCATTTATCATCATCCACAAGTCCCCTATCCATCATATATCTCACTTCTTGTTGTTAACAGACCCCTTAACCTCCCGCACACACAGAATAGAGATTATCAGGCAGTAACTTTCTCATCAATTTACTTGTTTCAAGCACTCTTCCTCCTCCTCCTATTTCAATAGAGGATATATTCCTCTTCAGCTGAAGAGGAATTTAAGCTTCCTAACTATGCTTTCCCTCCAGAATTCTAAAAAACATCATTCAACTTTTTCTCCTGTATCTCTTCAATTCTTCCCTACTGGTTTTCTCCTATGTACATATGTGCTTAAATATTTCAATCTTTGGGAGGGGGTGGGGACCAAAACTCTAATTCCTCGTTTTCTTTCCAAACTTTCTCAGTTATGCTTTTTTTTTTTAAAAAAAATGTTTTTATTGATTTTTAGAGAAAGGAAAGGAGAGAGAAAAAGAGAAAAGGGGGGGGGGGCATCGATGTGAAAAACATTGATCGATTGCCTCCCTCATGCACCCTGACTGGGAGGACACTCAACCAAATGAGCCACTCAGCCATGCTTCTGCTTTTTTTCCCCTTAAATATGTTTTTATTGATTTTTGTTTTTTAAGAGAGAAAGGAAGGGAGAGGTAGAAACATCAATGTAAGAGAAATATGCCCTGGCCGGTTTGGCTCAGCGGTTAGAGCGTCAGCCTGCGGTCCACAGAGACCCGGGTTGGGTTCCCGCTAAGGGCATGTACCTTGGCTGCAGTTTGTCCCCGGCCCTGGTTGGGTCGTGTGGGTGGCGGCCACTCGATGTGTCCCTTTCACATCGATGTTTCTCTCTCCTTCCCACTCTATCTGAGTGAAAAATGGAAAAATGTCCTCGGGTGAGGATTAAAAAAAAAAAAAAGTAAGAGAAATACATCCATCAGCTGCTCCTGCACCCCCCCCCCCCCTACTGGGGACTGAGTCCTCAACCCAGGCATGTGCCCTGATGGGGAATCTAACTGGGACCTCTCAGTTCATGGACAATGCTCAATCCACTGAGCCACACTGGCCAGGCTCAACCATGCTTCTTAAACCTCCTTCCTCAATTCTCATTCCTCAATCCCTATACCAAAGTTTCTTTCTGCCAACAATTTCCTGTAGCTGACACTAAACTAATGAATATATTTTAAAATGAAACATTTCAATCAGAGGAGAGTAACACTCCATTTTATCACATTTTAACTTTTCCCCCTTATTTGCTCCAGATATTTTAATTAAAAAATATTACAGGCAAAACTGAAACTCACTTTGTACATCATTCCCTTCTTTTATTCCTCAGATTTATTATCTTATATTTAGTGTTTACTATTCCCTTGCATGTTTTTATACTCCTACTGTATATGTTTTTATCCATAAACAATATATAACCTTGCATGCTTTAAAATTTTATATAAATGGTATATTGTATGTATACTTCTGCAACTTGCTTTTTTCATTCAAAATTATATTCACAAGATTTATTTTTTATGAAGCTGAGTTCATTCAATTTTACTGCTGTATACTGTTTTATCATATGCCATAATTTATTAATTCTACTGTTGGCTATTACATTATTAATTTTTCACTATCATGTGCACTGCCATACACATAAAAAATATTGTATGTGTCTTCTTGTGCTTAGCTTCTTAAGTTTCCTTAGAGATGAGAGAATCCTACAGTACACAGACCTTCAATTTTACTATATAATGACAAATTGCTCTCCAAAGTAGTTGTACAAATTTACATGAACATCAGCACTAAATAAAAGTTCTTTCTTCACATTCCTGCCAACATTAAAATGTATCAGATTAAAAAGTTTTAGACAATCTAACCAAAAGGAAATTGTATTTCATTGTTCTAATTTACATTTCCCTGATTACTAACAAGGCTGACCATTTTTACTAATATATTAGCAAACTAGGTGAGTTGTCTTTTCATATCCTTTGTCCACTTTTCTACTGTGTCATTTATCTTTAACTTATTCATCGCTGAAGTTCTCTGTACAGTTAAGACTTTGATAGTTATCGTGTTAATACCTTCTAGCCTGTGGCTAGAATTTTAACAATATTTATGGCTTAATTTGTAGCCCAAAGTTTCACATTTTAAGATATTCAAATTTGTCACCCCCCCCCCTTTTTCTTTGAGAGGAAGTGAGGGGAGAGAGAAACATTGATGTGAGAGAGAAATATTGATTGGTTGCTTCTTGTAAACTCCCGGAATAGGGATCAAACCCACAACCTAGATATGTGCTCTGACCAGGAATCAAACCCACAACCCTTTGGTGTACAGGATGATGCTCCAACCAACCAAGCCACACTAGCCAGTGCAATCCCCTAATTTTTGACATTTGCTTGTGCTTTTTGTACCTTGTTTAAAAAATTCATCTTATACCTGAAGAAATAAAGATGTTTCTCCTAAACTTTCTTCTAAGTATTTTAAAATTTTGCTTCTTCACAATTAGGAACTATCTGGAATACGTTTTTATGTATGGATAATCATTTGACCCACAACCATATACTAAATAGCCCATCCTTCTACTGATTTGTAATACCACTTATGCCATATACTAGGGATCCATATAATCTATTTCTGGGTTTTCTATTCTGATCTGTTGGTCTATTTATTTACACACTGTTTTAGTCTGCTATAACAAAATACCACATAGGATGGCCTAGAAAAAAACAGAAATCTATTTCTCATAGTTCTGGGGGCTACAAAGTCCAAAGATCAAGGTGCCAACAGATTCAGTGTCTGCTGAGATCCCACTTTCTGGTTAGAGACTGCCCTCTTTTTTCTGTAACCTCACATGGTGAAAAGGGCAAGGTAGCTCTCTGGGACCTCTTTTATAAGGGCACTAATTTTATTCATCAGGGCTCCACCCTTATGGCCTAGTTACTTCCAAAGGCCCCACCTCCGAATGCAATCATACTGAGGATTAGGTTTCAACAGACATCTTTTGGTGGGGACACAAACATTCAGTCTATAGCATAACCTATACCATACTATCTTAATTACTATAGCTTTAAAATAAATTTTTATATCCAGTATGGAAAGTCCCCTGTAGGTCTTCAAAATCGCTTCTGCTGTTGACCTTTTGCTCTTTAATGTGAACTTTAAATCTATCTAAGTCCAACTAAAAACAGAGAGACAAACAAATATACTAGTAGAATTTTGATAGAAAAAGCAATGATAATGGGAATCTCTTCTTGTCTTGTTCCTGCCTTTAATAAAAACTCCTAAGATTTCATCATTAAATATATAGGTTTTAGAAGGCTCTTTAATAACTACCTTTTATCAGATTAAGGGGAAGTACCTACCCCTCTATCTCTAGTTTTCTAAGAGGTTATTTGTTGGTTTTATTGTTAGAATTTCATGAAGACTTGGACAACAGAGAGAAGAAAGTAAGGAAGAGTGACGACTTTAAATGACTACCAGGCTTCTGGACAAGTGAGTAGGTGGATGGGGTTATCATTCACCAAGATTTTGAGCGCCATAAGAAAAACAGATTTATAAGGGAAGATGGTGTGTTTGGTTAAATCTGAGGTATTGGTGAAACATTCAAAGGAAGATGTCCCACAGTCTTGTGCTGTCCAATATGGTACACTCTACTCACATGTGGCTACTGAACACTTGAAATGTGCCTAGTCCAAATCAGCTGTGAAAAGGACTGAAGATTTAGCATATAAAAATGGAAATTATCTCATTAATATTTTTCATATTAGTTATATGTTGAAGTGATATTTTAAATATACTGGGTTAAATAAAAGATACTAACATTAATTTCACCTTTTTAAACATTTTTAATTAGGCTACCAGAATATTTAAAATTACATATGTGACTCTCATTATATTTCTATTGGATAGCACTACTATAGGCACTTAGAGATACAAATATAACATTCATGAAATATAGATTTGTGAATGACAGGTGGCGTTAAGGCCACAGACACAGATAAATCTGACCATGAAGTATGTTGAATGAGAAAAAGACTATTACATCTAAAACACAATTTTTTTTTTTTTTTTTTTTTTTTTTTGATATGTGCCCCTAGTGGGAACCGAACCTGAACTCTCTGGTTTGCAGGCTGACGCTCCAACCGCTGAGCCAAACCGGCCAGGGCATAAAACACAATTTGATTTACAAAATTCTATTTACCAACAACTTCTTAGGAACATATGTTTGCAAGGAGAGAGACATAACCATAACATAAATACTGAGATTTTATGTTCCAATGAAGCCAGACCATAGCTCACATAAAACAAAAACAAACAAAACAAATATTATATTAATTGAATGTAAGCTTTTTCTTCACCTCTGTGATTTTGTATCTACATTCAAAGGAGAAAAACCTATAGAACTCACCAGTGGCTTAAATTATCTACTTCTAGAAATTAAAATCATCCCGGAAACTTAAAGGACAAATTAGCCCGTGAAAACTGTAAACAAACCTGGTGAAAAGGATCATCTCTATATTCTTTCTTCACACATGGATTAATATGAGGATTTTCCACATCTGTCTCACTGGTACAAGATGATCGGCATTCTGCACAATGTAACAAGTCTTCCCATAATACATCTTCTGTTTCAGATTCTGGCCTTGCACTCTCAGAATCCTGTCTGGAACTTGAACAGCGAGAGCTGCAACTAGTACCCGATTTAGGGGCATCCTGAAATCAAGATATTCTTTGACATTAATACAATTTATGTACCCTTTCCAATTCAAAGGATTTTATTAGGATCATATATTGCTACTTTTTGCTAAAACAACAAATACACTGTCAAATGACAGTGAAATAGACAGCAAAACATTAAAAATACACATTAGTTTCTAAGGAATAACAAAATTTCCTCATATAAAAATTTATTTCACATTTCAGCTGAAGTGTTATTTTGCATGCAAACAGAATCCAGGCAGGCAAAGACAAGCCCAAATTCACATGGACTGCAGTCGTCAACTTTAATTGATGTGTTTAATAGAGTTTTCTTACTTAGTCTATTTTAACAACAATAGATCCCATGTATCTACTGTCTTTGTTTTTCAAACAGCAAGTTCAATAAATTGACAAAATTAACAAAGTGCCAATTCATGTTTTTGAGATAATCTATGATACAAAAGTGAGAAACTAAAAGACAGAAGTTAAATAATTTCTAATCAATCTACTTTTTTCCTAGTTTTTAATGTACAAAATAATTTTGAATAAAATTTGTTTAAATTAATTCAAAATAACTTTTACTGAATAAATGATAATAGTCATCCTTATAGCAAAGTATGCTGAAATTTTAAATTTAATTTTAGCTATCCTGTTACTAAGATTGCCAATTCTACCTTTAAAATGTTTTATAATCTCTTTCTCTTTTCCATGCTATCCCCAGATACCATTCATACTTTATTTACTATAAGAGTCTCCCAATTGACCCCTACCTAAAAGGCATTCCCTCTTTCCAGATTAACTTTCCAAAGTACAGCTGTTTTTTCATTACTCTGACCGAAATCCTTCTGTGGCTTCCCAGTGCTGCTCTCCTGGATATAGTTCAAATTCCTTCACCTACCATGTTTGTCTTCAAATGGCTATTTTTGGATCTTGTTTTCCACTTCTCTGTACCACAGCCTTTTCCTCTAGTGACACTGGGCTACTCCCTCACTCCTAAACACGGCTTGTTCTTTGCCACTCCAGATTCTCATGTTCCTACCTCTCACTATAAATCCAATTTTCCTTTAAAGCCTACTCAATAAAGTGTCAGGAAATTACCATCTCTACCCCTTTCTAGCTGGCTTACTTTGTTTCTGAACCTCAATGTAGTCATCTACCAATGAGGAATAAAACTATCTACCTTAAAGAGATATTAGAAATTAAATAAACACTATAGCTTTTAATATAAACCTATACAAAGCAGGGGCTCAACAAATATTAGTCTTCTATTGAAAGTGAATACTTTGTCCCTGAAGTTATTATTATATTCATTTGACATTAAATTTTGTCTTGCTATCCAGCATCTACAATATTATCTGTGTTAATTAAATGTTCATATATTTCATATACTCAAATAAATCATAAATGACAGAAACCATCCTTACCACAGGTAACAAAATATCTTGAATGAATGAGATATAGTATTGATAATTAACTTATGGATATTAGAATGGGGCACCATGTATATTTAGTGTGTGACAGAGTATTTGTGGGAGGGTTGAGAGAAAAGTAAATATTTTCTGAAAGAATTGAATAGGAAAATAAAGAAAAAGAGAAAAAAATGTACAGGAAAAAAAGGGTAAAAATCACTGTTTCTTTTTTACTAAAAGCATTCCAAAAACACTTCTGATTCACTGTCAAGCAGAATACTTGAAGCATAAACAACTTTCATCACAACAGTTTTCATTAGCTAAAAAGGCACAGAATGTATAATAAACAATCAGTAATTGCTGATTTAAATCTTTTCATAAAGCTAGTTTTTTATCACTAATTTCAGATAAAGACTTACCGATCAGATATAGAAATAAGTAACACATTAAAGATCCTGATTACTTTTTAACTGAAACTAATGAATGATTTCAGGAATATGGAAATATCTATAATTCTTCATAAAAGTATTTTGCTAAATACTAATTAATAAGTAGGCCATTTTACAAATGCATAATGTGAAAATTATTACCTAGAATTGCTTACATTTCAAACACTATTTTACCTGCAATATTTAAGTAATGGCCACTTTGAATTTCATTACAAATTGCTGAAGCCTAAAAATAGAAATTTTAGAATAAAAAAAAAAAGCTCACGTTAATAGCTCATTTAAGTTGATTTGCTCTGCTTATTTCAAATCTTTAAAAGCTAAAACAACATATAGTTTAATCAAGAAGAAAAGGATTATTTAAAAGGAGTAAGCATTTATAACATGAGTGCTTTGTGTCAGGCAATTATGTATAATCTTCTTTAATCCAAACAATCTGATGATGCAGCTCTCCTTTTCTACCCATTAAACAGGCAGAAACTGAGACTCAGAAGTTAAATACTTTTTACAAAGTCACTTGAATAGTTTGATTCCAAGCCCATAATTTCTTCATTATGCTTTCCATCAAATGTTACCTTTATTAGATGAAAGTCTTATCTACAATAGGGAATAAAAATTGAAAGATACTTGTAGAATTAACAAAGCAGGACAGAATAGGAAATAAGACAAATACTTAAAAGTACCATGGGGGTGGGGGAGCAAGATGGGGAGGAGGGTGTCTAGGGGAAAAGAGGGGAAACATCTGTAACAAAAATTAATTAATAAAAATAAAAGAGCCCTGGCCGGTTTGGCTCAGCGGTTAGAGCGTCGGCCTGCGGTCCAGAGAGACCCAGGTTCGGTTCCCGCTAAGGGCACGTACCTTGGTTGCAGTTTGTCCCCGGCCCTGGTTGGGTCGTGTGGGTGGCAACCACTCGATGTGTCGCTTTCACATCGATGTTTCTCTCTCTCTCTCTCCCTCCCACTCTATCTGAACAAAATATCAAAAAATGTCCTCGGGTGAGGATAAAAAAAAAATAAAAGAGAAAGAAGCTATCAATTCCCCAGGATACCTTCTATATCCCAGATAATCAAGTAATTCCATCATCTTCCCAGCGGGTGACTAGAAGAAGCCAACCAGATATAGTAGGATAGTAGAAAAAGGCAAGAAACTGGGTTGGAGGTGGAAGGTGGGGGTGTTAAGGAAAGGGGACTAAGTAAAAGTCTACACATTGAATGACAAGATCACCACCTCATCCTCAACCCCTTTGGTGCCAAACACCAAAGCAGCCTGGTATAATTTAGGGCCACTCCCACAAACCAAAGACTGAATGATTTTTCTTGAAAAACAAAATGCCCCTAAAAATGTAGATCTATAGATACTGATATTTGGGAGGCTTAAACATATAGTCCCACCCATGCACAAAGTGTTTCCACAAATGATTTATTTTTCCTTATGGAAAAAATATCACCAGTAATTTAAAGAAAGTATGGTAATAATATATACATAAAGATACAAAACAACACTACAGATCTTCTGTCTCAATTTAACTTAAAGGAGGCTTTGTTTTGCTTTATTTAAAATACGCTTTGAAGTTGGATTGACTTGAGAGTCAAAATATTTTGGAACTGAAATGCAGCTTTTTAAATATTCTAAAGTTCCTTACCCTACAGATGAAGAATTTAAAGACCACATTTTATTTTTATGTAATCTTTTATATACCATTAAAAAACAATTTATTTTTTTAAATATATTTTTATTGATTTTTTTTAGAGAGAGGGGAAGGAAGAGAGAAACAGAAACATCGATGTGAGAGAGAAACACTGATCGATTGCCTCTTGCATGTCCCCTGCTGGGGAGTTAGCCCCCAACCTGAGCATGTGCCCTGACCAGGAATCGAACCAGGACCTCTCAGTCCATGGGACCACACTCAATCCACTGAGCCATACTGGCTGAGCTTAAAAACAATTTAAGCCCTGACCAATTTGGCTCAGCGGTTGGAGCGTCCGCCTGCGGTCCAGAGAGACCCGGGTTCGGTTCCCGCTAAGGGCATGTACCTCGGTTGCAGTTTGTCCCCGGCCCTGGTTGGTCGTGCGGGTGGCGGCCACTCGATGTGTCTCTTTCACATCGATGTTTCCCTCTCTCTCCCTCTCTCTCCCTCTCTCTCCCTCCCACTCTATCTGTACAAAAAATGGAAAAATGTCCTCGGGTGAGGATTAAAAAAAAAAAACAATTTAAAACAACCAGTGCCAACCTGGCCAGTTTGGCTCAGTGGTAAAAGTGTCGGCCCACAGACCAGAGTTTCATATTTGATTCCAGTCAAGGGAAGTACCTTGGTTGCGGTTTGGTCCCCAGCCTTGGTCGGGGTTGTACAGGAGGCAACCAGTGGATGTGTCGCTTTCAGATTGAAGCCCATCCGCCCTCATTCTATGTAAAAATAAATGGAAAAATATCCTCAGCTGAGGATTAACAAAAAACAAAAAACAAAAACAAAAACAAAAAACCAGTGCCTACTAATTATCAGCCTTACTTAGTATGAAACCGAGAAGATTTTAAGCAACACACGTATTTAAAAGTTAGTAACAGATAAAGTTCTCCCCTTCAAGAATCTCAATAGTTCAAAACATAGCTGCAAACCTAGAAGAGCAAAGATTATGGAGTGAGAAAAGTATCTCTAAAGTGAAATAATTTATTCTATGGAAAAGCAGATCTTCTAATAGAAAGTCCAGAATCCCTTCCAGGACCAACTGACTTCTAAATGTATGTAGAGTAAGACTGGATTTCACAAGCACAGTCATCCAGTTTTGGAACAGGAGACAACAGCACATCAGATGACATGAGTGAAGAGGCAATGAGCATACACACTAGCATTAGTGTCTGTATACTGGCAGCTGAGAGAAGAAACATAGCCAGTCACCAAAAAGATTAAGTAGAGAAAAAAACAGAGAAAAAAATATAAAGAACAAGTAATTCTTCACTTCTTAAAACCCTCGAAGTATTCACATTCCAGAACAGCATATTTGATTTTTCAAAAGTTTAATCCTAAATCATTAAGACAAAAATGCTAGCCCTGGCCAGTTTGCTCAGTGGTCAGAATGTCGGCCCACGGACCAGAGTCCCAGGTTCGGTTCCCTCTAAGGGCACGTACCTCAGTTGAAGTTTGTCCCCAGCCCTGGTTGGGGTCGTGTGGGTGGCAACCACTCGATGTGTCTCATATTGATGTGTTTTGCTCTCTCTTCCTCTCTCTCTCCCTCCCGCTCTATCTGAAGATAAATGAAAAAAAACAAAACAAAAACAAAAAAAGAAAGGTAAAAATGCTAATATAGTCCAAAAAGAGTAGAAAGTTATGTTTACCAGAGTAGCAGAAAAATTAATTAATTTGCCTTGAAGCAAGATATTAAAATGTTCTGTCTTTAGAATAAAAACTGAAAATACAATTGAATGAAATTATTTTTCTATTTAAATAGTTTCAAGAAATGTGATAAGTTAGAAAAAGGTTTAGAAAAAAACAAGCATTAATAAAGAAAAATAGAATCAAAGAAGAAAAAAGATTGGATTTAATAGTATGGGCAACTTAATAACTGGTGACAAGAAAGTCACTTAGAATAATAACTTTGCTATAATCAAGTAGTTATAAAGTCTTTCAAATTGTGGGAAAAACTAACACAAGAGCTCACAGATTGTCTCAGGGATGGGCTTCTTTAAAAGCAAACAACCTGAATATATGAATCTTCAGAGATAACACACAAAATGAATACAAATGTGTGGCTATTTACCATGTATGCAACACATAAATCTAAAACTGCTACTCTATAATCCAGATCATATAACAATAAGATATTGATACTGATGGAAAATATGTTATTTTAATAATTATTATTAATTCAACTGTTAAAAGAAGTTGTAAATTAGTAACATATAAGAAAGACATGTATGTACATATGTAAGACCAAAGTATATACCTCATTAGGGTAATGTTTCTTATAATGGTGTGACTTTCTATTACGAAGAATGCTCTCAGAAGTCCTGTCCACATGACGGCGTAATGGGTATCCTGTTTCAGGACCTTCCTCGCTGGAGACTTCATCAGAGACATTTGTTACTGTCCTTTGGGTATCCTAAAATGGAAGTACACAAAAAATATTTTTGGTAATTTTTGACTTAACTTGCAGTTTTAAAAGTACAAAACTTTCAATTACATATACATATACACATAAAGCTTCAAATACCTTCAAAAACCTCAAAGTGAATTAGTAATACCTAATTTTCTGAAAAAATATCTTAAATTAGTGACTACACTGGTATCTTAATGTTAAGAGTAATTCCACAGCTATTTGTCAAATATTGTTCTATAATGTTTCCGTTCACAAAAAGGATTTGAAATAGCTTACAAAATTAAAAAATATAAAATGGTATAAAAGCAGAATAGAGGCTATTTAAAAGAAACAGAGAGACCTGGGATACACTAATTATACTATTGTCAAAACTGAAAATGTGATCAATTATAAAATCACCACTGGTTAAATAATGGTTTATGAGTCAGGAGGAGGTGAATGGTAAGTAAATGTGTGCACATATCAGACCTATGTACATATAAATTTGTAAGACACATCCAGTTTCAGAAACTCTAAAATTGAGAGACTCCAAAACATAAGTTTTATTGACACATTCATGTTTCTTTCACATAGTTTTAGTAGATAATACATACTTGAAAGTGTTTGAAAACTGAATGACTGAAAACTTCTTTTTTTAGTGATAACAGTAATGTGAAGCTCACATTATCAGAGATCTAAATGCTTCAAGAATCTAAAACCAAGGATAAGACTGTATTTCATTGCAGTCCCAAGCTATTTATTGTATAGCTACTGGTACTGAAAATACACGTACTGTCAAATAGTTACATATACTTCATTCAAAATTAGAGAATCTTCTTTTCTTCTATTTATTTTCCTCAACACAAATGTTCATGCTCACATTCCTAAATTTAACAGAGTTAACATCTTTTTATTTGACCATATTATTTTACTATAACAGCTTTTAAAGAATAAATTATTTAACCAAAAAAATTCAGTGAAACAAAGAGATAGAAGATACTGTATTAGGCTTTGTTATAATAACCCCAGGTGTCTTTATTATTTTGCAAAAGTAAACAAATAATTGGTATCTTAATAAACATGTGCTCAATAAGAATTTTTTTATAATTAACAACAAAACAAATGTGTTGACACTGAAGGTAATAAAGGTAGAAAATACAAGGTAATATTTTCTTATGGAAAATCAAGTTCCTAGTTTAGTTTCTAGAAGAATTTACATGTTCTATTTAAAACAAATTCTTACTACACACATGGAAATGGGGCAAGAAAAGGTAAGGTTTAATAGCATCAACTATAAAATTATAAAGTGCTTCCCTGGCCAGTGCTGCTCAGTGGTTAGAGTGGCAGCCTGCGCACTGAAGGGTCATGGGTTAGATTCCCAGTCCAGGGTATGTACCTGGGCTGCAGGTTCAGTACCCAGCCCTGGTCTGGGTGTATGTGGGAGGCAACCAATCAAAGTGTTTCTCTCACATCGATGTTTCTCTCTCTCTCTGTCTCTACCTCCTTCCCTTCCACTCCCTAAGGAAAAAAAAAAAATCAATGAAAAATATCCTCAGGTGAGGATTAACAAAAATAATTAAAAAATTATAAAGTGCTTTAACATTTTGGAAAAATTGGAGTCATTAATCAGTTCAAGAAGGTACCAAGTTATATTGGCAATAGACTTTATTCACATTAGTTGATCTGATTTTCAGCTTCATCAGTGTGATTTGTAAAGGCTCATAGAATACATTTTGGAGAAAATGTATAGTTCACAGGAAACTACTATGTCTAAGTCACTTCCTATTAGCTAATGTAAAATCACACAAGCAAACTAAAAAAAAAATCACACTTACTTTGCTAGGAATGTTCCTTGGTGTTCCTTTGTTCCAAGTTGTCTCTTCTGGTCGAATAGTTACACACTGAGGTTCATGGCTTTGTACTCCACCTTCACTGTTTTTAACAGTCTTTTTCCCATCAAGGGATACATAGCCATTGTCAGTTTCAGTTGATTTATCAATTGAATTCTTTATTTTCTTTGATCTAAAAATATATATTCAGAAGCATGTTTAATGGACTTATTTTGAAGGAGTTACTGAAATTATGATCTGTTAATAAAATCTGGTAGTTACTTTTCAGAATTTTAATGGACACCTCAGTTTTGCAATAAATAATTTAGAAATATAATATCCATCACATAAAATAAACATGTAAATCAATGTCCTAGTTCATCTTATTTTATAGGTTCTGAGGTTTTACAAATAGCAATTCTAAAAGATATGTCTTAACTTATCAAACAATTCTTGGTCAAAATTACCTGGTCTTTGAGCAAAATCTTGGATCAAAATTTTGTCCATTTTATTATGATAAAAAATATGTTTTTAAACTTCTATTTTAAAAAAATCTCAGTCATTATCATTTAAGTTGCCGTTAGTGGTTTAACTTAGTTTTAATATTCTCATTTACCCAACTTTACCATTAGTATATATATATACATAAATATCTCTGATAAATTCATTTTAATATACAATGGAGACATAGAGCTTTTGTTACATAAAAATATGAGAAAAGGAAAAATTTTACACAAGGTTGTAAATAATGGAAGAAGTAGAAATAAAGAACACAAAGAAAATAAAGAAGTAACCTCTTTCACCCACTGGAATAATCTGAACAAATATCAGTGATAGTGTAGCTTATAAATATCAAAAGGTTACAATTGAGATTCTTCATTTACAGGAATTAAAGTTTTCTCACTATATGACATAGAAAAATAATAAGCAACACATTTTTTATTAATAGGCAAATGCTTGTGAGGAGGCCTCTTCAGAGACTCAGTAGGTGGAAGAATGGCTGTCCAAAGTAAGGGTTAGTAGAAATATAATGTAAGTCCCACACAAAATGTGCTCATTGCAGATTAAGTTTATCACAAAACATTATTAAAAGCAATTGTATTTAATTATATTTAAATAAATCCCCTCACATTTTCTCCAGAGTATCAGTTTTGTAAGAAAGAAAAAACAAAACTTGCCTTCATGTAGGTCAAAAAATTAGTTTTCAAAAAATGCACCAAAAAAGTTATCTTTAACACTAAAGTTACTCAGTTTTATTGAAATTTTTAAAAACTCTGCAGGACCTTAGAACTCCCCTATTTGAAATACTAATTTTGGAAATAAGAAATCAGAAGTATAAAAAGGAAGGTCTAAATGATTTACTTATGATCATGCGACCAGTCAGAGGAAACACAGGACAGATTACAGACATTCTAACTGTGAGGTTAATTTAATTGTCCACATTACCTCCAATTACCCACTGTTTGGGCAACTGCCTGTTAGGACTTCTCACTCATCAAAGCCTAGAGAGTTTCTGTCTTATACAAATAAACCCCTCTCCTTCCTGATCTTCTCCTGTCAGGTTACTAAAAGGGACAGACAGACCATACTTCCCACATGCTCTACAGAGCTCCAATGCTTTCTCCCCCCCCCCCTTTAAAAAAATATTTTGGGGGACAAAGGATGGGAGGGAGGTGAGAGAAAGAGAGAGAGAGAGAGAGAGACAGAGAGAGAAACATCAATGTGAGAAGAGAAATATCAATCGGTTGCTTCCTGTATGCACCCTAACTGGGGACCAAACTGAAACCTGAGTGTGCACCCTGACCAGGAATTGAACCCACGACCTTTCAGTGTACTGGATGATGCTCCAACCAACTGAGTCACACCAGCCAGGGCACTCTGATGCTTTCTAGTCATTCAGAACACATCTCCACAGAGTTGCCAAGACTCAAAAGCCCTATCTCCTGACCCTTCTCTTTCCACATGACCCTAAGAGACATTAAGAGACCAAGTGAATGAGCCACAGAATAAAGATCATTTAAGAGTGGCAGAGGGAGGGAAAAAATGGATTACAGTGGAGAGGAGAAAGAGCAAAAAGTGAAAATAAAAGGCAGTGAAAACTTGTGACCTTCTCTGCTCGGGGAAGAAAGAAACAGTTATAAATTGCTCCCTTTACCTCTTCCTTGAACATGGAGATGTGGAAAAAGACCAAGGGAGATGAAGTTACCTGATATCTTGAAAATGTGAGACCTCAAAGATAAAGGAGTTTTCTGGTATTTCTGAAAGTTCATGACAATTACATTGGGCTGGAAAGGGAGAGGGAAAAGGAGGTGGAGGAAAACGGGAAGGAAAGTTGGTAGAACCATTAATCAAACAGGATATGCAAGAGGAAAATTTATTTGGGAAGATGAAAATGTTAGACCTGCAGTGCCCAGGAACATCCTAAGATCAATAGGTAGTTGAAAACACAGGTCTGGAGGCCAGCAGTCAAAGTAGAAAAAGTAGCTAAAAACTTGCAGAGTGAACCAGAACTCAAGGGCAAAAGTGAAAAGTGCTTTGAAGAATTAACCCTTCCTTACCAGGGCAGGGTAAAGACTATATTAAGTCAGGAGAGAGTACTAGTAGCATCCATTCCATGTGGCTGACATATCTCAGCTATCTCCCACTTCCTCTTTTCCTTATCTCTCTGCCTCCTTCCAATCTTATCTAGATGCTCCCCACTATCTGATGCTTCTCAGGAAACTAAATGCAGATAAGTTGCTAACCAAGCTGAAATGACAAATAATAAATCTAAGTACCACTCTTAGAATTTACAAAGTAGATCAAAATATAAATCATGCAACTTGGCAATGACTGGAAATAATGGCAATTACAAGAGAATATCATTGGAGTGCGACAGCAGGGGCAGCCCACCAGGGTTGGGAGATGGGTCACATACTGGATTAATTGAATAAGTAAGTCTGATGAGGGCAATGGGAATTGGTATTTCAGCAATAAAGAATAAAAATATAAATAAGACTTCCGGTCAAGATGGCGGTGTAGGTAAATGCTGTATCGCCTCCGCTCACAACCACAACAAAATTATAACTAAACTACAGAACAACCATCGTTCAAAAACCGCCTGAAATCAAGCTGAATGGAAGTCCTACAACTACGGAATTAAAGCAGCAGCAACATCAAGACTGGTAGGAGGGGCGGAGGCGTGACAGGCTGGTCCCACACCCACGTGTGGCGGATAAAAATTAAGAGGATATCTTGGCTGGGAAGGTCCTTCCTGAGGACTGAGGGGTCCCCATCCCACACCAGATGCCCTGCTCACGGTTCCAGTGCCAGGAAGAGAATCCCCATAACTTCTGGCTAGAAAAAAGAACGGGAACTGAGGCTCAGGGAGGCTGAGGCGGCTGGAGCCCCAGGCAGCTGCTCTTAAAGGGCGTGCATGGACTTATCGGACTCTCTCCCTCTAAGCTCTGAGGGAAGGCAGCTCGAGGGACACCAGGGACATACAGGGAAGAACTGAGCTGTTTAGCATTGGAGCAAGGGCTGGGGAGGGGGCTTTCTCCAGGATCCTTTGGTGAGCCCTTCCCTGGGGGAGCAGACAGCCTCCATATCTGGGACTCCAGCCACCTGGCTTACACTGGTTGCCCCGCCCTGGTGATTCCCTGTGGCCTCACCCCACCCAACTTTCAGGCCCACCCAAGCTGTTGCCTGTCCTAGATCCTGCTTCAGGTTTTCCTAAATTCTTTCAAATAAGCAGCATCTGGTCTCAGAAAGCCCCATACCTCTTGTTAAGTAATACATAGAAACAAACACAGGGAAGCTGCTAAAATGAGGAGACAAAGAAACAGGTCCCAAATGAAAGAACAAAACAGAACCCCAGGAAAAGAACTAAGCAAAATGGAGACAAGCAACCTAACAGATGCAGAGTTCAAAAGACTGCTTATAAGGATGAACAATGGACTTAGTCAGAACTCAGTGAACATAGTGAGGGCCTCAAGAGCATAAAAAAGGACCAATCACAAATGAAGGATGCACAGTCAGAAAAGGAGACACTAACTGAAATAACAATTTACACAGATTCAATAGTAGAGTAGGTAAAGCCAAGGAGCAAACAATCGATTTGGAATATAAGGAAGAAAAAAACACCCAATCAGAGCAGCAAAAAGAAAAAAGAATCCAAAAAAATGAGGATAGTGTAAGGAGCCTCTGGGACAACTTCAAGCATGCATCTTGGGGATGCCAGAAGGCGAAGAGAGAGAACAAGAAATCGGAAACCTATTTGAAATAGTTAATGGCAAAAAACTCCCCTAACTTGGTGAAGGAAACAGACATACAAGTCCAGGAAGCACAGAAAGTCCCAAACAAGATGAACCCCAAGAGGCCCATACCAGTACACACCATCATCAAAATGCAAAAGGTTCAAGACAAAGACAGAATCTTAAAAGCAGCAAGAGAAAAGCAGTTAGTTAACTACAAGGAAGTTCCCATTAGACTGTCAGCTGATTTCTCAAAAGAAACTTTGCAGGCCACAAGGGAGAGGAAAGAAATATTCAGAGTGATGAAAGCAGGCACTTACAACCAAGATACTCTATTCTGCAAAGCTGTCATTTAGAATCAATGGTCATATAAAGAGTTTCCAAGACAAGGAAAAGCTACAGGAGTTCATCACCACCAAGCCATTATTATATGAAATGTTGAAGAGTATTCTTGAAGAAAAAGATAAAAAATATGAACAACCAAAATGGCAATGAATACATAGCTATCAACAATTGAATCTACAAACAAAATGAACAAGCAAAACAAAAACATTCTCATAGATATAGAGAATATTTTGTTGGTTGCCAGATGGGAGGAGGAATGGGGGAATGGGTGAAAAAGGTGAAGGGATTAAGAAGTACAAATTGGTTGCTAGACTAAAAAACCTCAAAGGGAAGGGGGTTGTGGGGTGGGATTAGAAGAAGAAATAGGAAGACAAACCCACACTAAACAAAAATGGCAGTAAATAAGTACATATCAATAATCACCTCAAATGTAAATGGATTGAATGCTCCCATAAAAAGGCACAGAGTAGCTGACTGGATAAGAAAGCATGACTCATCTATATATTATTTACAAGAGACCTACCTCACAACAAAAGACTCACATAGGTTGAAAGTGAATGGATGGAAAAAAATCTTCCAAGCAAATGGAAAGAAAAAAAAAGCTGGGGTAGCAATA